TCTTTTTTATACATGGCAAAAGTTGGGGCATTTTTTTTATTCTCTCAAAGATCTAAAGAATTTAAAAAAAATAATTACCAGATAAACAGAAAGATAAAAACAATAAAGCAGATATTTGTAAAATAAATAAATACCATAGTGTTTATAGTTATGTATACAACACCACATGTATAATCTCGCAAAATGGACCATTTATGGGATAGAAAATGCCTCAATAACTAGACTATGGAAAACTAGGGACGGATGTATATTTAAACCAGTTGTTGACATCACAAATATTTATACATGTGTAGTATATACATTCATAACTATATTTGAAGTAATATACTCTTGGTATATTTTTTATTCTGGCATATTGCTATTCAATTTTTTATCTAGTAAATTTTTTCCCCTAAATCTATCCTAATTTTAATACTAAGACACCATCGAGATTAGTTCTTGATACACTCAAAATACTTATTGCGTGTGCATATGCTGCACATGGTTAACTAGGACAACGGCGTCTTTTGTAACAAAACGACAATGAGGACATTGATGCTTCTCATCCTCAGCACTAACCTGATTTTTCGTGGGAAATAACGTCACCACCGCTGTCGGCTCTAAACCATATGTCCTGCTTCCACCAAGCATGGCAACCGATCGTTCCGAGTGATTTTCATTAGCCTCTGTGTGATTATTATTTGAGTGAGCTGTTTCGACGTGAGAGACCATCGTTACTGCATCCACCGTGGCAAACAAGCAGTATGGACAGCGACTGACTCCTGTTGTTGTTGATGCTTCCTGGTAACTCGATAGGTACGCGTCGCCAAAATTTTCACCAGGCTCGAGATATTCCTCCCGCCGGTGTCTTGATCTGGTGAATCCTTTTTTGGTTCGACCGTGAAGCCAGTATGTGCCAAGGGCGATGACTATTAGCACAGCTATCGTGCAGCCTACGATGATGGCTATTGCCCAAGCAGACCAAAACGAGTCGCTATCAACGCTAGAAGGTGTTGACCCTGAAGTGGAGCCAATAGCACTCGACGACGCGACAAATGCAAAATTCTGCCTATCTGCCAGTAGCACGCTACGACCATAGACGACAGCCTCAACAAAAATTTCTCCGTCTTTTCCAAGAGCTGGATATCGTGTTAAATTTCCGCTGCTGCTGTTGCTGCTGGTGTTGTCTGTGGCAGCAGCAAGAAGATCAGCATAGGAAACCAATACCATTTCAACGTTATTTCTAGAATCTCTTCCAGTGTTTGGGTCAGCTGACAATGGGCTAAATGTTTGTGTGCCATTTAGAACACGAACAATAAGATCCAAATCATGCTGTAATTGTGACGTCGCTTGAATGGACCCTGGTGGGTCCGTCCATACAACCGTAGCGCGTAAGTCCACGTTACGGGCAACTGTAAACGAAATTACCATCTCTCCGTTGTGAGCGACGAACGGTTCGGTATTTTCCGTAGAATTCGGGAGAAAATACAGAGATGGTGGTCCATTGCTGCCTGTGTTATTGCCAGTATTATTTCTGCCCGCACCAATAAAATCGACTATGTTGGTAAGATTCGGTTTGCCGTATCCCTGATAAACATCAGGAAACCTAACATCAGTGGCTCCCGAAGCCAAACTCTCACAAGAGGCAAACCCATTATCTGGAAGTGCAGACATTCGCCGTTGCAAGGAGTCTGCACTGTGAATGATCAGCGCCTTTAGAAGCGATGCTGGCACAGTTGTGATTGCAAATGTAGAGTCCTTGCTACCGTATTTCCACCACCCGTCACGAAGCCACTCGTAGAGTAGAACAGCAACACCTGTGATTACCGGTGTAGCTTGTGACGTGCCTTGGAGTGAGCACATGGCCGAGCTAGATACTGTTGAACCTGGTGCTTCAGATTGGCTAGAAATAAGGCTCATTCCAGGCGCAACAACATCAGGCTTCAACCTTCCGTCGGTTGTTGGGCCTGCAGAGGAAAATGGTGCCACGGTGCGCTCATTGAAAATTTCGGGACACCCAAACTCCGTAAATGAAGCTGCAGAATTTAACGATGCGCCAACCGAGATAACATTTTTGGCTCCAGATGGCGATGAGATAGTACGCTGACCAGTAACCGTAGTCTCTCCACTGTTGCCCGCAGCCACGACCACTAGCACATCCGGATGATCATAAATGAAAGCATCTAAATCTCTAGCTTGAGAACTGTAGTCTGACCCAGGCGTACCCCATGAAAACGAGAAAATTCTAGCACCTGCGTCAATCTGACTCTCTAGCAAGTCACTAGCATCGGCAGGTGTAGCAAGTGTCACGGCACAATCCATTTGACCCGCGCAAGTCTCACTCTGTCTTCCGATGTCCATGAAAGCTATTCGCGCCTTGTCAGCTATACCCAGATTGGCGTGGTTGCCGCTAAGTGAGCTACCCGCCAAAAGTCCTGCAACATGGGTGCCATGGCCACAAGTAATAGTTTCAGCTTCATCCGCCCTGTTTGCCCAATCATTGTACATAACGACTTTACGAGCTGACAAAACTATTCCAGAAAAAATATCGCGATCATTTTGATCAAGCTGGTCATGATACAAGTACAGTCCCGTGTCGGTGATACCGACAACCACGTCATTCCCACGAATTCCCGCGTCTCTAGCTGAATCAACACCAACAAGACTTGGAGCATAATCATCAAGCCGTCGATGGCTTTGCATCCTCGTCCACCGTTCCGATTTTTTACCTCGTAGCAAATTTTGAGTGATCTCATGCCTTTTGTCCATCCACTCGACCGAGTTGTCAGCAACAACGAGCGCCACAATATTTGTCCAGGTCCTCAGGTCCTGCAGAGGCTTTGTAAAAATCGATCTTGGCTGTAAATCGTTCAATTCGAACACATTAAGGATGCCAAAAACATGGCTGGCGCGCTTTTGAAAGGAAGCCATTACAATTTGTTGGTCTGCCCCTTCCACAAGTCTAATCTCCATGGCAGGGGCTGCAACTAACGTTTCGTTCCCCGCAATTCCTTGTCCCAACCGAACACTAAGCTGGGCAGCACTGCGTGCGAATGGCATGAGTTTCAAAATCACTGGTAGATCTAGGACTGTATCGACACAATCCATAGCTCGTAATTGGTCTGCAACTAACTCTTTAGTATGGATTAGCAATACCGTGTTTTCTCCAAGAAGATCCCCTCTCCTTGTCAACAACGGTATAGTAATCTTTGTCGTTTGCTCAAAGATTTTACTTATCGACATAATGCACGCTCTGTCGTGGTCTTCTCCGTATCCTGTGCTTAATTTTACCAACCTGGGTTTGAGCACAGCCTCCTCTTCCTCGTTCGATAAACCATCATCCTCGACAATTGGCAGTAATTTATCTTGCAGAAAAGCCAGTTGACAAGCGTCGGCCCTGACACTGTCCCCGCCCAACATGGCGTCAAACGCCTGAAAAAAAGCGTCGTGAAAGCCTTTAAACACCTGTGTACTGTCGGAAGCCGATAGAGTCAGCGACATTGCCAGTGTTGATGCGTTTTGCTTCACATCTCTACACGACAACACGTCGATTTCTTGTGGGTTATCGCCGACTTCAGACGATTTTAAAGTACGACGATGGCGGTCGCAGAGGTCTGGTTTGCACTGTGTCGTTTCAGAAAGTTGTGTTGGTGAGCAGTGAAAGTTACAGAAGGCCGCAATATCTACAAACTCGAGGCCCTGTTCATCTGACGAAGCAGCGAAGCAGTGGCCGATAAGCCATAGGGAGGCCAGCAGGGACTTGACCAAAGGCATAGGCCTAGGCAATTTATAAATACTTTCTTTGGCAACGTACTTTATAATGTGCTCGACAAAAGCAGCTGTCCTGTTGTCATGAGTATTCTTGAAGTTTAGGAACAATATTGGATTTTCGCTGAACAAAGAGAAAGCTGGCGTCAAAATGATCTGTTTTATCAGCTAAAGTTGTATTGATGTATTTTGCTTTATGGACAAATCGTAAGATACCAGCTGTAGATATGTAAATGGTGCACTCTATTTGGTCACACATCCTCACTAAAAGAGCTGACCCCTAAGCGTTGTTTGGTTAAGCAATGCAACCTTTTATCTAACAAGAAGTTAAAAGTATTACAGCGTGAAAGCTTGCGTCAATTCAGCGCTTTGACAGACCAGATTGGCCTAAACTGCTTGCTTGTTTAGCGAATTTTACTCAGTGGTGATGCGCAAATGTACCAGTTGAATGATTAGGCCTTTTATATCAATCCTAGCATAAGAAGAGCATATTTTTGAAAAAAAATCTTGTAGTCACCAACGGTCCAAACTAAATGTTTCTAATTTTGTGGGCATCATGTGTAAATAAAAATATAAAATGATTGCAATGGAACTACGACTATGCTTCTAGTCAAATTTGCCGGTCTAACCGTTAGCTTCAACGCCCTACTGATGGAGCCAAACCCGGAACCGTAACGCATGAAGATGTTGCACTGAATCTGAAACCCACTTTTGGTCTCCTGCGTCTAGCGTAAAGACCGCGAGCGAGATACTGGATATCAACGAAACGTGACTGCGCGATTCAGTGGTTCAAAAATATTCTTATTGCAAAATCAAAATCTAAAATAGGTCATAGCCTTTTCCTCGTCTTACTGAGGCGTAGACGAGATTGGTATCTGTTTTAGTGCTATTAGTGGAGTGGAGATACGCTGCTTTCCTCATGCCATTCTACACTTCTACAGTGGGGCTGCCGTGGCTCTTTGCTTAGAGGAAGCTAAGCTAACGTCAGCGACCTTGTATCGAAGTTACACGTACCCTGGTAACAGGGGTGTGTGTCACACGAGTGTGCATGGAGTGACCACCCTCAAACCAGAATACGATACGGGGCTAGGTAGCCAGTAGTTATGCATGTATTTAGATTTTACTATATATACTATATTTCGAAAAATCTAAACTTTTAAAATTAGAATAAAAAAATACAAAATCAGTCTTGGATTTCAAGTGGAAGAGCTAATTAGTCTTCGGTAGGGCAATAATAACTCTTGGAGTAAGCGGATTGCAATCCGCTTACTCTTACTTTTTCCAAGTATAGAACGAAAGATCGGTGACCTAAATTACGCTTCCTAAAGCGCTAAGCTACGGCAGTCCCGCTGCACTTGGTAGCACTTGTAGTCAATCTACACC